CTTTAAGGGGCTATCTACGCTGCCCCCCCCCCCCAATAGCTAGCAATCCAAAAGAGTCCAGTGAAGCCTGAGCAGTGGGTGTTGCCTTCTGACACACTTCCGGTGATGTCAGTGGGGGTGGCACATGCAAATGAGTTATGCAAATGAGCTCCTGCACCTCTTTTTCTACGAAATGACCCCTGCCCATGGCCAATGCTGCCTCTAAGCTGTGGACTCTAGTGACCTGAGTTCGAAGTCCGCCTTCTCAACACAGTTTATTGCAAAGTTTCCTCCTGGTTTGAGAGTCCCAGTTTGCAGGCGAGAACCCGGCTTCGGTTTGTTGGATGTCCCAAATTTGGATGCACCTGTGGTTCCATGGAAGATCCCCTAAAGTAGGAAGTCTTCATTCTGAGCCGAGGGCAGGAGGGGATTTCCAGGCTCAATGGGGTCAGAAGAAGAAGAAGAAAACAGGCTGCCCCAGTCACAGGAGATTAAAAAATAAGGCCAGGACCGATGGTGCAAAATCAGGTAAAATATATTTTATTATTCAGTTCCCAAAAGAATTCTCTAAGTGTTTCGCCAACAGGCTTCGTCAGGGGAATCCGTTCGTCTGTTGCAATTCTTCAAAAGGAGTACAAGATCAGTAGCGGATTGTCACTGGAAGAAATCTAGGCACTGGAATGTAGTGAAGTTTCCTCCAGTGACAAGTTGCTCCTGATCTCGTATTCCTTCCAGAGAATTACCACAAGAGGAACAGATTCCCCTATTGAAGCCTGTTGGCGAAACACATAGGGAATCTTTTGGAAATTTTAACTGAGTAATAAAATATATTTTAACCTGATTTTGTGTCCTAGCGTTACTTTTTTATCTCACTGGGGTCAGAAACTGGGAAGGTGGAAGGCAGCCGGCTCTGCCTTAACATAAGAACATAAGAGACGCCAGTGTTGGATCAGGCCAAAGGCCCATCCAGTCCAACACTCTGTGTCACACAGTGACCAGAAATACCAGTGCCATCAGGAGGTCCAGCAGTGGGGCCAAGACACTAGAAGCCCCTCCCACTGTTGCCCCCCTAAGCACCAATAATACAGAGCATCACTTGCCCCAGACCAAGAGTTCCTATCTGTACCTTGTGGCTAAGAGCCAGTGATGGACCTCTGCTCCATATGTTTATCCATAAGAACATAAGAGAAGCCAATGTTGGATCAGGCCAAAGGCCCATCCAGTCCAACACTCTGTATCACACAGTGGCCAGAAATACCAGTGCCATCAGGAGGTCCACCAGTGGGGCCAGGACATTAGAAGCCCTCCCACTGTTGCCCCCCCCCAAGCACCAAGATGACAGAGCATCCCTTGCCCCAGAGCCCCTATCTATACCTTGTGGCTAATAGCCACTGACGGACCTCTGCTCCATATGCTTATCTCATTCCCTTTTGAAGCTGTCCATGCTTGTAGCCGCCACCACTTCCTGTGGCGGTGAATTCCAAGTCTTGTGTCCCTTACAAAGCCGATTGTGTTCATTGGTGATCAGATGCCTTTTGAGCAGGAAAGAGGGTGGATTGTTATGGCGACGGACTGTTTTTCCTGGGCTTGCCTGGATAGCTGGCTGCTCTCTTCTAACCTCCTCCTGTTTTCAGGTTGTTATCAGTTTTTATGATTGCTCTGACCTCTGTGGTCTCGTAATAAAACACTGCATGTCTTGCACTGACACAGGGTGGGTATCTTGGAGACGGCAGCAGTCCGGCGCTACGCCCTTGGCCTCTCCTAACCCCGGAATAACTGATTTCATAAATGGTCAGCGGGATGTTGTTTCAGTGGGTGGCAGTCTCTATCTCATCCCCTTTTAAAGCTATTTATTCCTGTGGCCATCACTACATCCTCTGGTAGTGAATGCCACATTTTAATCACTCTCTGTGTAAGCCAGTACTTTACCTATTGCTCATCAAATTCATTGGGTGCCCCCCAGATGAAGCACTGGGGACAGGCAACGTTTTCTGTCCAGTTTGGTGCAGTGCTTAGGAGTGTGGACTCTAATCTGAGAGAACCAGGTTTGATTTCCCCACTCCTCCACATGAAGCCAGCTGGGTGGCCTTGGGTCAGTCACAAGTTCTCTCAGAGTTGTTCTCTCAAGGGCAGCTCTCGAGAGAGCTCTCTCAGCCCCGCCTACCTCCCAGGGTGTCTGTTGTGGGGAGGGGAAGGGAAAGGAGACTGTAAGCCACTCGGAGACTCCTTCAGGTAGCGAAGGGCCTTGTATAAATCCAATATCTTCTTCTTCTCTTCTTCTTCATCCCATTTGTAATTTTTATAAACCTATGTCGCGTGCTGCGCCCCCCCCCCCCCCGTAGTCTTTTCAATAAAGAACCATGCTCTTTATCCCTTTCTTCCAGGGAAAGTGCTCCAACCCCCTAATTATCTCGGCTTCCCTTTCCTGTACTTTCCCCCAGCTCTGCGGTACCTTCTTTGAGACGTGGTGACACACATTATTCTTAATGAGGCAGCTTGAAAGGAGGGTGTTAACAATCCCTGGCAGGTAGCTCTGTCTCCAGTCCCTTTCCTCGTAATCTCTGGTGTAGCCATTGAGATTCGCCAGCTTAAACATGCCGGAACCTGCAAGGGATCGGGCTGCAAACCTTACTGCCGGCTGCGCCTGGGAGATTTACGTGCCGGGATGCAAAACCTCCTCGCTGCTGCCCTGTAGGTGAATTCTGTTGGGGTGGGACAGCCTGGGTTCCTAACGTTGCGTCTCTCTCTCTCTCTCTCTCTCTCTCTTTCCTTCCTTTCTTATTTCCCCCCTCTTTCGATTGTAATCTCTTTGAGGCAGAAGCCTGTCCGTTGGGCCCCAGTTTTCAATAACGCACGTGGCACCATCTTAAGTAAGCGATAACCGGGAGCTTTTCTTTGCAGCGTGTTATCTTGGACACAGTTAGTGTGGCGGCTGGAGTGTCGAGGCTGAATTCCGCTCCCCGTCTCTGCCCACTCGCTGCCCTCGGAAGCACACACAGATTTATCAGAAGGATGCCATTATGAGAGCTTTCTTTATGGTCCTGGCATGAGAGGGTCTGATGTTTAAAAGAGCACTTTGCAGTAATGGTAGCTTTCGGCGAGAGCCGGGCGAGAGGCCTCTCCGTGGCCACAATAAAAGTGAAAGCACGCCCCCCCCCACCTTTTTGCAAGGTCACAAAAGAAGGAAACGGCCCTCTTCCAAGGAGTGCAGGGAAATATTATTGAAACTCACCCCTCAATGAATCCAAAAGCGAGAGGTGTGTGATGCCCTACATTAAGAGCAACCAAACTGCCACCTAAATACTACTTCTGCCGTCTGTGCTTGAAGGAGTACTTTCAATATACGCATTAACAGAACAAGAAAGAACAGGGCTGCATCTTCACGACGACGTACCATCGCACAGTCTACTGGAGAACACCTACCATCCCTCCCCC